AAATACAAAAAAAGTTCTTAACAACCTAGTGTTACCTCCCCCCCTTGCCTTGATAACGGCTTCCATGCGATCTTTCATGGACCTTACAAGGGTCGCAACAGCCTCTTGGGGTATTTGTTCCCACTCTTCAAGTACCGCATCTTGGAGCTCTTGAAGAGTGGTTGGAGCTGGATCTCGAGCTCGCACGCGCCGTTTTAGGTCATCCCAGAGATGTTCTATTGGGTTAAGGCCTGGACTTCATGCTGGCCAATGCATAACAGGGATATCGACCTCCTGTAAATAATCCCGTACAATAGCCGCGGTGTGGCAACGAGCATTATCATGCATTAACATGAATCCATCACCGACATAACCAGCATACAGGACCACATGTTCTTCCAGGATTTCAGTAATGTACCGACCAGCATTTAATGACCCTTGCCCACGGCCACTCCGAGTCCGGGAAACGCACACAAGTTCCGTTTTCCCGTCGACGGAAATGCCGCCCCAAAACATACACGAGCCACCCCCGTATTCGACGGATTCTTCGAAGCAGGGTTGTGTGAACCTCTCCCCCCTGTCTTCTGTAGACCCTTCTAGGTCTGTCATTGCAGAAAAGACAGACCCTCGTCTCATCAGAGAAGAGTACGGTCCGCCACTGTTCTAGAGTCCACTCGCAATGATTGCGAGCAAACTCTAGGCGATCTCTGCGATGCTGTGCAGTAACTTTTGGACCTTTAGCAGGTCTATCGGCTGTTAAACTCTTTTCGTGTAACCTTCTTCTTATCGTAGAAACACTCATAGATGTTCTCCGAGTTGATCGAAGCTGTTGTTGCAACGCAACAGCATTTGTAAAACGGTTTCGTAAAGATGTCGTAACGATGAAACGGTCATCTCTTTCTGATGTGCACCGTTTTCTTCCAGATCCCGGTTTTCTAGCATAACCACCAGTCGGCTGAAAACGTTGGAACACTCGTCGAGCTGAAAAACGGGACAGGTTCAACTGTCAAGCAACGTCACACTGCCGCATCCCCGACTACAATAGGGCAATCACTTGAGCGGCTTCTTCAGAGCTGGTGTCCATCTTTACTTGTTCTTACTTGGGTTACTTGTTCGCGTGTGTTCACTGCAAAGTCTAAATTACGACTGACCCATATTTCATCCAGATCGACCCTTTTTAGGTGGTGTAACTAGCGTCCTTACTAACGAGCATTTGACAGTGTTTATTTTTGACGCTCTATTATGATAAATGTTTTAATGATTTCATGATTTTTGTAAAGCTATTCAAATACCCATTTCAAACATACCAATATTTATATAAATATAATTCGTTTCTCGCCATTACAGCCATTTTTCGCGCAAACTCAGAGAGGTGCGATTTTTGTGACGCTGAGTGTAGTTTGGAGCTTTCGCTTCTAATATTCTTTCCCTACACTGCACTGACTGTCAAGTGGGCAATACTTGTAATACGCCTATTTGTAGCATGCGTACCCCACCCATTTTGAGCTTTTAATATTCCTTGGTTATATCGCTATCTATATATTAATGACAACTTTCTCTGAAAACTCTGTGCCACCATTTATGGGAATCCATATCCTATAATCGTCTTACGACATCCACGGGATGAAACGAGGTCACGGATTTTCTTACGCCGTCGCAACACGGCACTGTACTAATTATCATAAGTGAGGTAAAATAAATAAAAACATACAAAACAAATCAAAACAGCTTTATTTCTTGCTGGTTTTCTTTCCCATACATGCAGATGAATTCTACAATGCACATCCTTTAACTCTCAGAACGCAGACAGTTTTGTTTTGAATATTTAAAAAAATCTCTAATGCTAAAATTTCACATGAAACCTGGGTTTCACACGAAAACCAGCACCTGTGATTGTTCCTGCTGCCGACATACATTACAGTTATTTTAGCTACAATGAGTCTAAAAAAACAACATCAAAACTTTCCATACTAGTTTCCAACATTTGACATTTATATCGAATAAAGGGTTCCACTACCACATGTACTTTGGCAGAAAGGATATTCTCTATTATGAACAGACTAGGAAATAATAGAAATATCAGTGGTAGTGGTAACATTCCCAATCTTTTAATTTCTCTTAATATAATTTAAAAGTGCAATATTGTTTAATCTTATATGGATTAAGACTTATTTTATTTAGTGTTGTCTGCTATTAAAACGTTGTTAAAATTTGCTAGCTATGCGTCAAACTAATGTTTAAACAAATTGGGTCTGCATTGAAGTTACTAACGAAATACCCGATGCCCACTTTTACAATGGAACACTTAAAGGATATTCAGGCTGCAAGAATAGGTATATAATGTAATAGGTAATATATAGATATATTGCTATCGCCTTGTACCTGAACAACTGAGCTTGACAAACGCGGGAAGCAACTGTTCTCACTATTTATACCAGTGAAAAATCGACAGTCATCATTCTATATTCCCGTTCCCCTCTTTAAAACTGAGCATTTTAAATTCATTTTCATTAACCATATTTTAAAAAAAACTAAAAAGTTAAAAAATTGCTTTTGCCTACCTGATTGCCAAGCGTGGCAACTTTGGCCAACATACCCTCTATGAGCCGATCGATGGGGGAGGTCTGGAGGTCTACGTTCAGCACTGGACTTTTAGGCTGTAACAATAACTATTTTTTGTGAAGAATTTTGGCTATGCCTGTATGTTTTTCTTATTATGTTTATGTTCCTTAAAGTTTCCTGGGTAACTAATAATAGCACTATAATGGATTTAGTCATTTTAGATGGTTCTTAGTTTTTAAATTAATAAAACACATAGGAACATGGCAGTGGGAAGTAAAGATTATATCGTAAAAAATATTCTCTCAGGTGTAATTATTCAAGGAGAAAACTGAAGAATACATTCGTAAGGACTTAATGCCGCCCGAATATCCTTATAAAGCAAAATATCATCAATGCTTTCTCAGTGCTCGTTTTACCGAGAAAAAAGTAACATTTTCAGTTTCTTTTTCTTTGAAAAATTTACTGTCATAAATTATTTAAGTTGATACATTAGGGCTGATTTAAAGTAAAACAACAAATCTAGTTCAACTTGCGGATTTTTTTCTAAAAAATTCGTATCAAGTTTGTAGCCATTAGACATTCAATGCAATACCCAAATATAATCAAAATATACAGATATGTGAAAAATGAGCAAAATAGAGAGAAAAAAAAATAAAAAATTCAATCGAAAAATACGCGAACAATAAGTTACCTCCAAAGAACGTAGGAAATATTTTCTTTCATTAATCACAACAAAGAAAGTTTTGACAGACTGGTATCTTCATTTTTATGAATATAAAAAGCCGCTATATTACACTATTAAATTAGCTATCATCTATAGTTCATTCTATACTATAATCAGTTAAATACCACATTAATTTTTTAAATTTAACAGTAGTTATACTCACACAGCTTAAAGCTATCTCGCTTATATCATGCCATACCGAAGTATTCTCCCATCATTGAAATATTTTGGGCAGCATTAGCGACCAGAAATATGGTTCCTATCGCACATGGGGCGTAATTTTACTGAAGCAGATATTGCATCAGTTTTTTTATTGATTTAATACTTCAACTGACACATCAAACTTGAAGCTAGTGTTTATGAAATTAAAAAAGATCCAGTAAATCATATGATATTGCTACGCAATCGTACAGACATCGCTTGCAGATAAAATTATTGTAGTTGTACAGTATTATCATACCTACGGATGCCGACAAAGATTTCGAGACATAAATCTTATGCATAGTGTTATATATAATACAAGACGCTACAGTTTTAATGGAGATAGGACACTTAATGCTTTCATCAAAATTAAAGATTTTTATCAGTAAGTTTGTTGTGTGTGGTACAAATTTTACTCAACAATTAAATCACTTAAATTAATTCTGTTTATAATTGTTGACTTTTTTAAATAGTATGGTCATATGTAGGTCATTTTTAATGCAATTGTAAGCAATTAATATTGTAATAAATTCAGACTTTCTTTGAAAAAGAAAAATAACTTAGTTCAATTATTTTAATTATAAAAATGATGAAACACATTGCCACCAAATGTGCCATTGGTACTGAAATTCAGACTATAAATAGTGTTGTTCAGTAATTTTAATTTCAGTATATTATGTTATGATGAAAATAAAAATAGTAAAGCGCGATAAAAGCGTGAAGCTATATTACAAATTAACGTTAGTACATAGCGAAGACATAAGCACAGTTTACGTGCAAATAACATAGGTACAAAATTTTCTTATATTTACCATTTAAAAAGTGATAGACGATAATTTATTTATTTTAATTATAAAAGATCAAAGACAATTAAATATTATGTCTAGTTCGTTTAAAAGCCACAAGAGTATGATGGACCTCACGTGACAAATAATGATACAAAGTGATGAATATGAAGCATATAGAAACATTACCCTACAAAATTGAACTTCTCAATGTCGTACTTGACAAACATGAGATTAGTTTGATTTTTTTTAAATATCCTATATATTCTTTTTATCCCTGTTATGACCTTATTTTTGTCTTTAGTATGTATTTAGCTCCATAATGATTCGCATTATAAGTATCATTGTGGGATTATGTAACATTTCTATATATCTCACATTACTTAATATATGGACACGAAATTCATCTATCTCATTGCAATAAATACATTAATTTTATTTATCACATACGACACGATAAGATTACCTGCCTTTACACAGTAAGTTTTAATCCACAGATATACTACTAAAAAGCGCTACATTCGTCAAAGTGTCCCAAAAATACTAAAAATTGAGTAGACTTGAGTTAAAATCAAACATAAACCATAATAAACTGTTAACAAAAATATTTTTCAAATAATATATAGAAGGGTGACACCCTCCAGCATTAATGGTAGGTACTGACAGGAAAGTTTTCGAAACAGTACTTTAGTACACATAGTACAGAGTTGTAATTTGCATCAATGTAATCCATACAATTGCAGAGTTGTTTAATGCTGATCCATCTGTAATAAATAAAGTGCCACATTAGGAAGTAACAAACATTGTTTTTCTGTATTTTTTGCAACATAAGCAAATTCAATAGCATAAATGTATGTTTTAGAGGTACAATGTAGCTATATCATGCTTTACAACTGGACAAATGGATAGGCTAAACCAAGACGAACCATGGTTGCACAGAATAACTAAGCTGTTATAGCATCACATAATTATATAAAAAACGTAACAGCATAATGCAGTTATGTTTTTTTATATAATTATGTGATTAGAACCAGAGATGTTTATGTATGTGGTAGAGCAGTCACACTGCAGCTATATTATGGTTGTAGCACAAATGTTTCGGCTCGACTGGAGAAGGACCCAGCTCTCACAAAATACCAGTATAATATAGCAGTTCAATACTGCTGTGTTTCGTATGGTGAGTGTAGAGATCCGGAGACCCTTTTTTACTAGATACGAGGCATTCTATCTTAGTCCTCAGGGGTGACAACGCACCTCATGGATCATCATCGAGGATAAATGTAGATGTATATGGGCCACAGCATCGACTTACCATCAGGTGGACTATATGCTCGTTTGTCACCCTTATTCTATAAAAAAAACTTTTTTATTGGTGATGAGGCATTCTTAGTTTATAGGAGTAACTGCATTCGCTTTTTGATTCTTAATTAAAAATAAATCTAGGGCTACAGCATCCACTTACCATTAGGTAGACTATGAACTTATGTAAAACAAGTGTTACTTTTGCATTTGTTGCAGTTAAAATGCTGTTCACAATATCAAAGACTTTTATCTACTACTAAATACTACAAATATGCATAAAAATAACCTGTTCTTGGCCATTCGTTTCCTGTGACTTCATGACATCAGGCAGGTCAGGGGGTGAAGAGTATGGGGTCAGGTCAAGAGCTTCAAATTCACCATTTTCCTTTCTGTAATTTCAATTAAAATATTATTATATCACAATCTGCTTTTAACACGATAAGGATTTGGGTCCTGATCTAATGTGTACTTTTATATTTTGCTAAGAGCAACAAGCTTTTGCATAACAAGAACATTCAATCTAAATTGATGGGCTCTTATTTTGAAGGTTGCTTAACTTCATAAAACTTAGAATGGTGGTGGTATCAAATGCATGTGGTGGTGATATCCCTGTTAATATAGCTACCATTAGGCATAATAATTAATAATATATTTATAATTATTAGATAATTTTTTTTATTATATAGATAATTTTTCTCATCCCTGGCAGGTAGATTGGAGATTACAGTAAGTGTGGTTTTACGGTGACGCTTTCGCCAGCGCGGTTGATGAGCGTCGCGGGCCACGGCGGCATTCAGCCACGCGGTTCCAACAGTATACAAAACCGCGCGACTCTAAGTTCGTTTTTTAGTTTCGAGCGGGTCATCTGCGCGTTTACGGGCCGCGCTTACCACCCGCGCTGGCGAAAGCGTCACTGTAAAACCACACTAACATTCCTTATCTCCTTTGATAATGCTCTCTAAGGTCTTGTATCTTTGCAAGCCATGATATCTTTCTTTCATTCCACCTAGCCTCTTTTTACAACATACTTTGGAAGAAATTAGGTGATGAATTCTCTAAAGCTGCCAGCCCAAAGCTTGATAAAACACTATTGATACAATTTCGGTAAGATTAAGGGATCAGTATAGGTGAAATTAAGAAAATTTTACATGAGCTTTTATTCAAGTTTTGACACATGAATTAGTGGTGAAATTTGGAATTCTGTGTCATCCATACCATTCATAACATCTACAGGCTTGAAACCCACTGCATTGCACTGCTTGACATGCACTGTTAGACAAGTAACCTACTTTATGATTTTTTAACTAGATATAATTCATAATTCACATCATAAACACTAGAAGATAAAACTAACTAAACTAATTTATAGTTGTAGTAGACATGAGTCAATCATGCATGATTCATTCCTTTGAGCTGGTACACTTAAAAATGGATCTCACAGGCTCACAGGGAGCCCGAAATGATCGATCCGAATGAACCGGTACGCGTGACTTAATGTACTAGAATGATTCGGTCACTAGAAATAAATGATTGACACATGTCTAAGTTGTAGGAGTAATGGTCAGTTCGACTGGGGTAGGACCACATTCTCACAGAATACTAACATAAAATAGCAGCTTAATGCTGCTGTATTTCATATGGTTAGTGTAGAGAACCGGAGACCGTTTTTACTGGAAATGAGGCATATTTGGCTGTGTGCTGTTTGTCATCATATTCTATTTAAAAAAAATTGTTTTTGATGAGAGAAGTTCGGCATAGATAGTTTTTACATATAGGTATTGTGCCAGTAATGGGCCTGATAATGACGTGAGCATCATATTTTTATTAACACTTTGTTACAATACACAGCCTCTGATTAAATTTTAAATATTATATCTTTCACAACTTGATACAGTGTGGTACCCACAACACAGTCTTCCAGGCTGAATGCATGGGTATCATCCAAGCGGCCATAGCAATAGATGCTAGGAAGGTGAAAGACTTCTCCATCAGAATACTGACCGACAGTATGGCGGTACTACAAGCTCTGAGTTGCAATGTGACGAACTCGGGACTGATAAACAAGTGCCATCAACGATTGAATGAGGTATGTAAGCACAACAATGTGACTGCAATGACTAGACTAGAGGCAACGATGCAGCAGATGAACTGGCCAGAAGGGGATCGGCCCTAGCAACTATAGGGCCAGAATCAATAATACCAATCCCCTTTGGCTACGTTCATTCACTGGTACATAGATACTTCAATAATTTACACGCTCAGCTTTGGAAAAATTTAGTAGACTGTAGACAAGCTAGGGAGGCCCTACCTTAAATAAACAGTCGTCTAACCAAGGTTCTAATGAGACTGAACAAGCCACAGATCAGGATAGTAACAAGTGCTATCACAGGACATGGCTCTTTTAACAAACATTTTTTCACCATAGGTGTTACTGACAGCCTCCTGTGCAGGGCATGCATGGGAGAGGAAGAAACGGCGGCTCACGTGTTGCTGACATGTCCAGAAGTCGCTTCATACAGTGCTAAACATCTCAAAACGCCGGGATCGCTCCCCGAAGTTGCTTGCAACATCAAGGGACTGCTGAGCTTCTTCGGGGAGATATCATGGCTCGAATAAGCATATTATTCCTGCCCACAAGCAAAATACGCGCTTAGACGTGGAGTTGCGGAAAACAGCCCGTCGTAAACTAAACTAAACTAACTACAGTGTGAAAAATTTAATAAAAGGTACAATGTGGCACAGACCCAATAGAAATGCAAAAAAGGTTTGTAGGGTTCACTCATTAAGACAGTTGTAATAAATTATTGATTTATGTCATCCATAGTGATCAACGGACCATCTAATCAAGTTGTAGCTAGACCAGCTGTCCTTTGTATGATCTCTCTTAAATTTCTTTATACCTAACTGTTGCCACTCATATGAAAACTGAGTAAAAAACATATATTGCTAGGTGAAGTAGGGATCCCAAGTGGTTTTTGGTTTTGTGTAGATGTATGTTATTAAAGCTGTCCCATGGGCTGTCTGTGTTGGCGGGTATGCATTGAATATAAAACACAATGAGGGTTAGGGGTTAGTTGATATAATTTTAATATACAAGCATTTAATTATCCATGTAAAAAAAAATTACATTTCACAAAATTGCAATCAAATCCAGAAAGCTTAACTGTACAGGCTTACATAATTTTGAAAAATTCCCTATAAAATTAATTGATAATGATCCATTTAGGTATAATACTTGGTTAGCAGAAGATTATCTGCATTGAAATTTCCCTTAAACAGGATCTGTCCAATAATCAAATTATTTTATGATGTTTAAATCTTAGTATGGTTTTTTTGGTATCTAATCAACTTGTAAACTATGTTGCAAAATTATCATCAGATACTGTAAGTACTCAACACTTTACCTTATCAGTTTTTAAATTGATAATTATTTGCTAATTACCAGTTCTTTTATTACTCGTTAAGTATCATATTGATTATTGATCATTGATAATGTCCTCCAGACTGAATTCTAGTCACAGAAAACAGACTTAACAGAGACTAGTCATCTGCAAAGAACAGGATTGTAGTTCATGAGTGTGTGAACAAGTATTAGAGTGCATAGTCAATTCCCTCACTCTTATATTCTGATTGAACAACAAAAAGCTTTATAAGACACAGGGGTGGAAACACTATCAACTAAGACAACAGCCAACTCTGGGATACAGGGTATGTTCCGAAACATTTTCAGTGGACTGCCGAATACAAATAATGTCATCAATTGACACTATATTGTACTGGCGTGCCGCTGCCATATTGTCGGATATGCGACCATAATAAAACAATTTTTAATTGTGTGTGCGCGGAATGAAGCATGCCAGAATTTGTTTTTATTTATTCAAATACAAAAAGTTATAGAATAATTGCTGGTATCTCCATTACGAGGATATAATGATTTTTGGAGTACAAAATAACAAAATAATCGCCAACACTTTTCCAATATGGCGCAAATGTATGACGTCATATACTCTCCTATGTTTTGGAACGAATCACCAGTATAGCGTCGATTCATGACGTCATGTGCATTGGACAGTACACTGGGTTCTATTTTGGAACATACCCACAATAGAGAATCTTTTGACAGAACAACCCTAAAATAGTTTTTTGGCTTGGAACCACAGGGGCAGTTGCATTTACAACCACTATACCAATAGAAGTCAGATGATCATTAAAACATACCTTAAAGCCAGTCCAATAGGAGCTGGGCACTGTGCCTTGGCAGTAGCTGATGTTAGACCATATTCGGCAAGAGTTTTATCATCCTCCATCAGCTGACTGTCCTTGTTAAACAGCATCTGACTTGGTGGTGGTACCTTCAGGATACCTGAAACGAAGGCGACCAGGACATTAAGCTTTGTGTTTTCTATAGTTCTTTTAAGCTGGAAAACCAATGACAGATTCCTAGGAATATTTTAAAAATGGAATGTTTTCGTCAAGAAATTAATACGGATTTTTCAATTTCACAATTTGACTTCTCACCTAGAATGAAATGAAATTAATGCAATTAACTGAATCTAAAATTTTAATGTACTTTTAATTTGTACATCTTAGCTGCCAAACAGAATTTTCTAAAATTTCAAAATATGACAACCTACTTCTTACTTACTTGTGGTGTAATAAACATAGTGTTAGCTTGTTTATAATGGGACTTCACTACACAGCTCGAATAGACGCCTCATGGAAGGCGTACACTTTCTGTCAACACGTTAGACAAATATGTCTTACTTAATAAAACGATCGCACAATCTACTTTAGTAGCGACCACATCCCTGACCCGTGAACATCTTGCTTGTGACTCGTGAATTTTCGAGAAAATAAAATACAACAGAGGCGCAACATGGTTCCCTGTACAATAAAATAGTGCGGAAATAGTAGTCAAATGTGTAATTTAAAAAAAAAATGGCATCACTTTTCATAGATAAGTGAATTTTAATTTCCAAATTCATTTATTAAAATTAAAGCAGAGCTCAACCTACATTTGTCACTAGCAACTAGCGTTGATTTATTCAGACATCTTCAGATATTTTTGGACTATGCATCCCTTTCTTTTCAATGCTGTTCATTGTTGCTATACTTTTCTTTAATTACCGGCACGTGTAACTAGTGATGTACCAGTTAAACTATAATATTGGTACAAGTAAACATTATGCATGTTATTGTGAGTGTTTTACAGACTCATACTATATGCAACATAGGTGTAATCTGAATTTTTTTAGTGAATGTACGTTAATCCATATTTGAATTAATTGATTTAAAAATTAAATCAAATTATTCAAAACTTCTTAAAAAAATTCATAATAAAATTGATATGATTTTTAATAGACAGCACTCCGCTCTCTTTACCGCTAAGACGCCATGTCCAGAGAAGTAGGAAACAGAAGTGAACTTGACAGTTTAAATAACTGTTGCTATTTTGTTTTTAATAGTATTCTTTTATTCTTTTAAGGTTAAGCTTTCCATTGACGTCCGTCGAGTTGGGGGTTGATATTTTTTTTACAGAAAGGTAACATTAATATAAGCACACACGTAAAGTTTCAACATGCGGAAAAGCGTACTTTTTGAGAAAAAAATTATTGAAAATCAATTATTTTTGCAATATTTATGTCAATCCTTACCACAGATTACATCGAATTCTCGCCATTGAACGTTCGTTTTCCGTACGGTTAAGTTGTCATACGTTCGGGTAGCATTTTATTGTACATTTTACGTAAATAATTATATTTTGTACTCATTTAAATAGTTTTCATGCATACACATATATTTAACAGTTTATATTTAAATTACAGAATTATTATCATTATGAGCTATTAAAATTAAAATGTGTAGTGTTTACCATTTTTTGCCGGCTTGTGGGACGTAACGTAAAACTGACGATTTCTAAGAATTAATTAAAGCAATATTTATATAAAATTGAATAAAACATGTGTATAAAACAGTACACACCTATTAGAACAGATAACAAATAAAATAGGTTAGGTTCAACTTATGTCAAGGAACCGAATCAATAGACCCCGACTCCACGTGGTACGAGTTTGTCCTACCCCTAGAGTGTTTTTATAGAGCCGGAGGCGCGTAGGGAGAGCAGCCTCCGCCTGCTGTAACCTCCGCCTCTTAAGCCTCAGTCGCTTCGGCTCGTCCGATGCCTACGATTTGTTATGCAAAGGCGTAGAGGCTGCTCTTCCCGCAGCGCCGGAGACGTTGCAGTCTTAAAATAGATACAGAAATTCCTCTGAATGAGTCCCTCTATTTATTTTTGGTGAAGGGGGTTCCCCCTTCCTTAGGGGTACCCCCTTCCCCCCCAAGAGGTCCCCCATGGTTTTTTTACACTTAATATTTATCCATAAAAAATAAAATTTCCTCAGAATTAAAATTGAAAAAACTCAAAAAGGGGGGGGGGCTCCACAACTTTTCCTTTTAAGGGGGAGTAGTACACCTACCCCCGCACTCCCCCCACCCCCCTCCCACCTCGAATTCGACGGACGTCAATGGAAAGTCATACCACAATACCTACTTAAATAAAACTTCTTTTGTTTTTTTTATTTTGTACTAATTTATAGTAGAATATAATTCTGGTACTGATTAAGTAGACTTGGTACCAAATTTATTAGTTAAAGTTCCCATCACTATTTGCTTATTAGCAAGTGTCGCAACCTTGATTTTAACCAATTAGCGTGCATTTCAAACCGCCTTCCCCATACCGCTTACCTCAGACTTTTGACAGACAGATTTGGATGCAGAAGTACATACATTAGGCGTCTATTCAGGCTGTGTAGTTGTTGCTTCTAGCTGACACATGAAAACAATGTAGCCTGAAGAGAATAATTATTTGAATATGCCTTGCAAGTCACTCTGCTGAACAATCCCAAACTTTGGCCCTTCTCTCATAAATCACAAGCCATGTTTTGCTGGCATTAAAAGATGTATTATTCAAATGTAATTGCAAATTTAAACATATTAAATTGTGTCACTACAAGAGCCGCCATCATATCTTGATACACCTACCAAGTAGAGTGGTGGGACAGTGCCCTCAGCTGATCACTCGGTATTAGTAAGCACATAGCTGAGTGCTTGGCCTAGCGACAGGCCTAGACAGCCACTCAGACCCCATTCTATTTACTAAGCGAAGTACCCACCCTCACTCTTCTCTCCACATTGTTTCTCTTGCTCACTTGTGAATCTGAACACTGGCAGTTCAGTCACTCGGCAACCACTCACCACTTGGTCTGTACACATCATTTTTTCTTGCAAATTTTACTCCGATGTATTTTAGTAAAATTCATAATGTAAAAAATTCTGTGAAATGGGATTTCTTATTGACGGATTATAAAAACAAGCAAAAACGTTATGCAGCTTATAAATCAATTATCGAAGAAATGAGTATTTCTGGGTATGTATAAAGGTACAAGCAAACCGATCGATTTTCTTATCAATTTTTTTCAATACATCGTATCTGTACTGTCTGGTAAACTGAACTGTCTCGCCGCAACTTTAAAAATATGTGTAAACAGCTATATCATTCCATCACTGTTTCAGCGGAAAAGGATATCACTGTCTTGCCACTCTACTCAGTAAGTGTAATCAGGCTATCAGTGAAAAATAGGTAGCAAGAACAGAATGAATTGCACCCACAACAATTATCACATTACAGCATAAACAATAAGTATTGTTGATACAATAAGAAATGATATTTCAATTGTCATTCACATTATTTGCAATCAAATAAATTGTAGTCTAATAAAGATTTTTCTATTTGTATGGTACAAAGAGATTCCACTGTCTGGTAAATATACTTATAAAATCAAAGTAATAATAATAGGATTATGTAGGCAAGGTTAAAGTTTAATGGTAAATGTGACATAGAGTGAACTAAAGTAACAAAAGACTTTTGTCTACTACTTGTTATTTGTGCATGTATAACTTAAATTAAATATGTTCACATCAAACAATATATAGCGAAACGATCTTTTTTTACATCCGACATTGTCGAAGAACTAAAAATAGATTTCTCTGATATCATATAATTCTTACTTACCCTCAATCATTTTCTTCAATTCTAAAACAGTAGTAGTATCTTTTGCGTCTGTGAAGATGGTTAACTTTTTTCGCCTAATCATTAAAAAGACATCCTGAAAACAAATAGCATTTTTGAGGTTACATGTTTGGGACTGTATTGCAAAGCCAATAATAATAAAATATTTGTAAATTCACTATATAAGACAAGACAACTATCAAAACACCTACCATATTGAGATTAGTTATAAGTTACAGGCTATTTAAAATTTTATATATAATAACGCTTCAGGTGTAAGAAGCGGAATTATTTCTTTGGAATTTAAATATATATATTAAATGTCAACCATAGACCAGAGCATATTATTAGGATTTTTGGCTTGGATGCTTCTCCTTTAAGCCATGTCTTCATTTCATTCGGGATCTTCGTTTTCATAGATTTTTGTTCACAATATGCATACGTAACATTACGAAGTATTTAGGGGGTTTCAACGACAACTCAACCCAGCCGACAGTTGATGATGGTAACTCAAGCTCTTAAATTGCATCACTTTACGTATCATCATCAATTACAAACGATTATTTAAACGATAAAAAGAACCAACAATCGGTCGACAGTCAAATTCCCGCCAAAATCGACCAGGAAAGAAAAAATATTTTCCTTCCCTTCAATGATGACCGCACACAATTGTTTTAAATTAATCAACCTAAACTTTTTTTTTTACTTTTTACTAATTAATTATAGTCTCCAACGAGAGCTTTTTGTACATAATATTTAGATAGTACGTACTTATATATTAATATAGGAAAAATATTTTTTTTTATAATAATATATTTTTCTAAAAAAAATGTGTTAAATGGTAATAATTTCAGAATCATTCCAGTTCGGATAAAAAAATTTAACTTTTCATTTGACGCATAAGATTTGGTCATTGGTTAGAGATTATTGCCCGAATACTCTAATGTTATGTTTTTAATATATAATTTTTGTTATGTTTTTAATACAAAACTAGAGAAAACTCCGACCTTAAAAAATGGCTGAAATAATGAATAAATTACGCTTTCCCACGAGATGTTATTTTCAAAATTCAAACAGCAGATCAAAGCGCGGTGACGTCATTACTCTCGTCTCGACGAGCACTATAAAGGAACTTACTATCTCGCTCGTGGTTTCGGGCGGTTCACTGACCGCTATGATTATAGTGCTACATTACGATCAAAAACCACAAAATAAATTGTTTTTATGGTCCCATACTAGCCAAATATCCGAAAAAATAGCATATTCTTTTGAACCAAAAACTACTACTTTCTTTTGTGGTGTGGTGGTGGTGCGATGTTAGGAAATTTTTTGTTTTTGTGTATTTGAAAAATCATTATAATCAGTAATCATGATTCCAATATATTAGACACTAGGTACTCAAATCGAGTTTAATTTCACATTTGGAATTACACTGCCATTGGTGTCTAAAGGTCCACAAGCAACTGAAGATAATTGACGGCGTAAGGGCGCAGGCGGCTTTGCCCTTGAGCCTGTGACCCTGCCTACTAAATTTATTGTTTTATTGCCACTCGTAGGGTGGATATGATTTGAATTTCGATATATTTGAATTGATTTATTTCACCGTTCACCTGTTACACCCTGTTTTTTTCAGACAGTAAAAGTAGTCATCTAGTATAGGCTTTGAGTATTAAACAAACTGGAGAGACCATGTGCGTGAATTCCTTAACAAAAAAGTATATCAATGTCAGGGGGGCGCATAAAAACACACTACTTATACAGTACTACAAATGCAAAATTAAATCGCGTCACTGTACACGCACATACATCAAATTGTACACGTGTCGATACACTGGTGCCGCTGTCTACCATAGATAAATAAATATGTAGCAAGCTACTGTCTACATGCGTAAGCAACGTAAGGCAAGGACTATGTCGATATTATTTATCGATTAAAAATCACCATAATCCGCATAGGTAAAAGTGACAAGTACGGTTCTGATTCACCTGCATCCAACAATTTCCTGCATGTCTTACCAGGTCGTCATTCCATCTATTTAGGGGTAGCCCTGCACTTCAACCACCAGTACGAGGCTGCCACTCGACAACCTTTTTACCCACATCGGTTGTCGATTCTGCGAACTATATGGCCAGCATATTGCCACTTCAGCTTACTAATAGCCAATAAATCCAAGGCTGTGGGTTATGATGAAATTAGTAAGCAAATGTTGTCTATGATGCTTGAGTACCTTCTTCCAGCTATAACACACATTATAAATTATTCTCTGGACTCAGGTCAATACCCTTCTGCATGGAAAAAGACTTTTGTAAGACCTCTTCCTAAAATACCTAATCCTGTTTTCCCTAACCATTTTCGTCCTATTTCAATTCTCCCATACCTCTCTAAAGTTCTGGAAGCCTGTGTTTTTAAGCGAATATCTGTATTCACTGCAAAACATAACCTGCTGAATGAATTTCAATCGGGATTTCGCTCTGGTCAGAGTACTACCACCTCGTTTATCAAAGTCACAGACGATATAAGAAAGGGCTTAGATGAGCAGAAATTAACAGTGGTGGTCCTTATTGACTTTTCAAACGCTTTCAACACAGTGGATCACGGTATCCTCCTATCTATCCTTAAACACCTTAAATTTTCATCCCCAGTCTTGGAATGGTTGTCTTCTTATATTCGCAGTCGCCAGCAATCAGTTCGCTCAGGTCAGCGGTTTTCTGCATGGGCTGAAATTGAATCTTGGTGTGCCGCAAGGCGGAATACTTTCTCCTATTATGTTTTCCTTATTTATAAATTCTATCTCCTCAGTTTTAGATTGTTCGTACCATCTGTATGCGGATGATCTCCAGCTCTATGTACAGTCAAGCTTAAATAATCTTAACTTTGTAATACACAAACTAAATGATAACCTGGAAGCCATAAGAGAATGGTCATGTAAATATGGCATTTCTGTTAATCCTGCCAAATGCAAAGTTATAATATTCGGAAGTTCGCAATTATTGGCTAACGTTGATTATGGAAATCTCTCTCCTATGGAACTTTATCCATTAATATAATATTCATATAATGGAACTTTGATTCCATTCCTTCCCCCCGGACTTCCAAAGAGTAAAGACGTGTTTATAGTTTATTTTCGAGTATTACTTGTATTTTCTAATAAATGCTGTGACAAAATAGTGATAAAATATTAGGAGTGCATAAAGCCCGAGAAAGTTTACGAAGTGCTAATGTCATCTGCGGCAGTGATTAATTTTCAACAAACTAAATTATATGTGTGAGTAAAACCATCACATTTACAATCAACAAATAAATAGGACACAGCATAAGACACCACACGTTAGTAAAACGATAAGAAGAGAGACGGTTATATTTTACTTGTACGGTTGCATTAGGGGTACAAGTTCGCAAATATACTGCGATCACTCTTTCTAACTCATATTGTCCTGGTAATTAAACGTTGAGGCGTCTTTTATTTCAAAACCGGTTATACAATGCCCCGCCTTCGCCCGTGCCTGTGAGCTCTGATGATACATCGCAATCGCAGACTACGCGGACGCGCGCAATCGACGCGATAGAACGGACGACAAAACTCCATAGTGAATCGGCGCCTGATATTCCATCGCTTACGTTAAATGTTAGTGAGCGTAAAAAAAGGAAACATGACGGAGTGAATCCTAACATTATGTCTTATATAAGTGAAATGTTTTCAGTTTATACGAATGAACAAGCAAAGCATTTCAAAGATTTACAAATTATAGTTTCTAGTATAAAAGAACAGAACGATGAATTAAAAAAAGAGCGTCGATACTATGTCAAGCAAGTATGATGAGTTTCTATCACGGCTATCCGTTCTAGAGGCAGAGAAAAGGCAGGATAGATATATTATACAACAACTACAAGAGAAAATAGAAAATATGGAAAGGAAGTCTAGATTTTCGGGAATAGAAATAAGAAACATACCTAAAAACAATGAAGAATCAAAAGAAAATCTATGTAGCACTGTTAAAAAATTAGGGGAGTGTTTGAATGTAGTAATAAAAATGTATGAAAAAAATAATTCAGTCATTATAAAAAAAGATGTTACAAAGTAAAAATTTAATAAAACAAAACCAAAAAATGAGAAATTAAATACTTCGCATCTAAATTACTCACAAAAAAACATCCCTATATATGTCACGGAGACGTTAACACAAAATACTCAAAAACTTTTCTATCAGGCCAGAATTTTCCAAAAAAGTCTTAAATATTTATTCTGCTGGACATCTAGAGGCATTGTATACTTACGCAAGAATGAAAATTCTTCTCAAATTAGAATAAATAATGAAACAGATCTAGAAAATCAGACCAAATGACTAGTAACCTTTAGATTAGATATTTTCGCATCCTTTCTTTTCTTTTTAACTAGCATAATAAGAATTAAGTATATTCTAACACTATACATTATAATACACACAGTCACAATTTACACACAGTACATAAAAAAAAATCAAACATTATACACCTTAATTACATCTTTTAAATCACACTTACATTTTATAATAAATCATATTCACTCATTTTATATATAGTACTTACAGTTACATTTTTCCAATCAATTTATCGAATAAAAGATATTATTTGGTTAATAACGAGACTTTGTTAGAGAAATTTGAACAGTAATAAATAAAAGGCGATAATAACGCTCTAAGCTTCGCTATTAACTTAGATACATTTACGATATCAAGATCGATAGCATGTGACGTTGAAGATTGTTATAAGTATTTGTCATCTAGTGAATCCAACTTCACAATTATTACGCAGAATATACGAAGTATTAACTGCAATATTACAGATTTTGAAGTATTACTGACTAGATTAAAAATAGATTTTGATGTCATTGTACTAAGTGAATGCTGGTTGCTTAATAAGGACAACTTACCTAAAATTACTGGTTATAATTTATGCTCCACTAATTTTAATAACAACCAAAATGACGGATTAGTAATAAAAAAACATTTACGACTGAGGAGTCAAGAAGGGAATTGTATAATAACAATATTGAATGATATTGTTATAACCTCAATATATAGGTCACCGTCATATAAAAATGTAGAAAACTTTTTTGCCTTCTTGGATAGTGTACTACAGAAATATTCGAAACATAAAAACATAATTATAATAGGAGATATAAATATTAACATTAACAATAAAACAGATATTAATTCGGATAAGTATTTGCAACTG